CCCACTCGTCCCTCCATATTGCCATTGGAGCTCCCTCTCGAGCCTCCACCGCTAGGCGGCTAGGATATAGACAGAAGGACATTACCAGCAAAGACAGGGGACACTAGGAAAACGTATTAAATGACCACCTCAGCAAATGCTCTTCTGGAACCCATGGGAAAGAAGAAAAAAAAGAATTGAAAAACCGTTTTAAGAAAAATATTGAATCGCTACTCGAAAAACAAATAATAAATGAGAGCACAACTGCTTGTCTTAGGCCTGGAGGTGCACACATCCCCAGGCTGTACGACCTACCAAAATTGCACAAGACAGGAGTACCGTTACGATTAATTTTATAGCAGCAGAGGCTTGTACAGTGGCTAATCCAACAAACTGAACCAATCAAAAGAAAAAAATCACTGGATTGGTCGGTTCTCGTTTGTTGTTTGCCTCTGTTGGCCTGCTATGCCCCAAAGGGGGTCCAAATGCCAGGTCCATAGTCTGGGATTTAAGTAAGTCTGGCTGGGTGATAGGGAGCTAAAAATATCAATTACAAGTACTCTTGACCTCAATAACTCTCTTTAGTACTAACTGTTTATTGCAAAACGGCAGCCACCGGAAGAAAACTTGTTTTTATAACCAACATGAGGACCAGAGACAAGGAATTTTACCTTAATAAGGCTTTGGAAGGTCGGTAGGGTGTTCGTCCCAGCCGCGTTGGACGACGACGAAGGCTGGGGAGGAGGAGTGGAGGCCTGTGGTTTCGGCGCCTGAAATGCGAAGGTCAACAGCCGACTAACGGGCCTGAACTCTAGGTATCTCGTCACGTCGGCCCGCAGCATGGCTGCAACCGTGGGACTGTCTGCGTAAATGAGCTGAAAAGAAGAAACAACGAATAGGGGGGCTAAAATAAGATCATCTACCTTCGGCATTTAAAGTTTGGGGAAGTCTAGCAGAATGAGAAATTTAATATAGAGTAAGCGCCAGAATTCGTGCAACGTGCGGACATATGCGAAAGATTGATACTCTTTCGCTAATCGCATTGATTCAGGTTGTGATACTGATACTGAAGTTATTTCAGTCATGATAGGATGCAGGCTTTTTAACGGGTTTTTTTTCTGGCTACTAACAAAACGTATGAACTGTAAAAAGTAACCACGAAAAAATATTTCTTGTACTCGTTTGGTAGCAAATTACGCTTTTTTTAATTTTATACTTAAAGAAGGAATAAACTGACGGATACGATGTATTATGAATGAACACCTCACAATCGTAAAAAAGCTCATAATAAGACTGAAATAACTTCAGAATAGACTACACGATAATCAGTATCACAACCTCAGTTAATAACGATTAGCGAAAGGATGTCAATCTTTCGCATATGTCGACATGTTGCGCGAATTCTGGCGCGTACTGTACATTGTCAGTGACTTATGATGGTTATAAGGGGCAGGCGTTTAGTAAATGGGTGCGAGTTTGTCATCATGCTCGAGTGAACATACCCACCGTTTTTGGGCGTTACAATAGTCGACGTCTATTAAGCCC